AAATTTCGCTTACAATAATTATTTGAAAAAATATTACTCAACAGAATAGTTTCTTATCCAATTAAATGAATAGAAAATGGGCGACGTCAAAGAATTAACATTATAGAACTCCCTTTGTTTTTTAAGTTAACAATACCTAAATAATTTCGTATAACTCTTGCTGAGTACTCATGTAGGTCACAGTGACCCTTCCCGGAACAAGGAAAAAAAAACACTATATACTCAATAATAGTCAAAAAGAAAAATGTTAATCAATCTCTGTTGTATTCTATGATTGTCGAGTTTAATAACAAAAATAATATTTAATGTAAAATTTACTTTGCATCCTTCACATGTAGGTACCCCATAATGTGCACCTGTTGCTTTGTCCATACAAACTCGACTATAATAGATAAAATAAAATAAAATAAAATAATTAATAAATAAATATTACATACCAATGTCCAAATGGAAATGGTCTTCTATCAAATAATGAATTAACTGAATTTCGTCTTATATTTCTTGTATGATGAATTTGTTCTATTTGTTTATCATGAACAATATCTTCAACAGAAGTTTTAATAAGAGTTCGAATACGACGAGATTTTCGTTTTTGTACATAATGTTCATCATCAGTCATTGATTGTTGATCAAAAGATTCAGTTTGATTCTTATGACTGTCGTTTATTACTTTAAAAAAAAGAAAGAAAACAATAATTAATTAATTGTAATTTTCTCTAATTTTAATTTATTTACCTTCACTTACTGATCTGTTCATCATACTTTTTCTAGTATTTAATGAATACTGTGTCTTTTTTTTTTTACTCAACAAATATTCATTAATTATCAAATATGAAATCTAGTATAAATAAATAAAAAATTGATCATAGATAGACATATATATATAAATATATGAAACTCAATGTCTAGTAATAACGGTGAGGAGAGCACACAAATATTCATATGTTTCCATGTACACCTCAACGTATTTATTGGGTCGATAGACCATAATGAAATATAGTACACGTGCAAGCAGTCAAGCATTAAATCTTTTTTAGTGTTACGTTTTTCTTTTTTGTGGCAAGTTCTTTCGTTCGTTTACATTGGTGACGAATTTCATATACGAATAATATATATAAGCACCTACCTTTGTATTAAACTTTCTTTTTTTTTTGTCTTTTGTTTTAACACAATGTTCTTCATGTCGATGTTCTAAAACAAACTAGGATTTTTTTTTTTGTGCGAGATGGTGATAGAGTCGAAAAAAAAAAGCAACATCATATTGTGATAGAAGAGCTGCTTTTTTTTATGCGTTTAATGTTGTTATTGATGAAAGAAAAGCAAAAAAAATGCGGCGACGTCCTTTAGAAGCAATGGTAATAGCAGTAAACTACAGAACGAAGAAAATTGCTTAGGCGTGTAATCTACATCATGCGTCCACAAAGGCGATAGCAAACGAATAGAAAAAAAAAAGCCCAAATAAAAGCAAAATAATAAGAATAAGAATAGAAGAAAAAAAAAAAAGACGTGTAGATCATTTATGTTGTCGAGCGCATCATGAAAACACATGACCCTGAAGGGAGTGGCTTGATTGTGTATGATAAAAAAAAAAAAAACTTGTTCTCACTAAAAAACGCAAATACGAAGTTTCAAGTTCTTCGTCCTATAGAAATAAGAGCCGAAAAGAAGAAAAAAAAATCAGATACATTCACGTTTATTTATGAATGAAAGAACGACAAAAATGATCTTTTGTCTTTCACTATACATATAAAAAAAAATGTTTTTATTTATTATTATAATTGTGGAAAATGATATGCAAGAAAATTTCCAACTTTATTTCCGTCTTTATCATAGTGACATGCTTTAAAACATCTTTCACATAATAAACATGGATCATCAGGTATTAATGGTGAATCTCTAATAAGCCATTTAGCATAAAAAACATTACATAAAAAACAATATGAAAATCTTCCATGATATTTCATTCGACATAATGGATAAAGACTAAAAAGAATAGAAAAAAAAATTTAAATAAATATTTTTTTTTTTTTGTTTTGTTTTATACTTTGAATCATGACATTGATCTTGTTCAAGTAATTTTAATTCACTAAATATAATAACATGTTCACAATTTGTTTGATGTAAATAAATATATGGTTTTCCAAGTTGTATCATTTTAAGATCATTTAATGTTGTTATTTCCATTGTATTACCTTGTATATAATTTGTATTTGTTTGTTCAATAATTTTTTCACTTAAACGTATATTTGTTCGACGTAAATCATCATATATAATTGATTCAATTATAAAACAAGCAGCTGTATTAACATCACCAGCACGTTGTCCATTTGTTTTTATAAGATCAGGATTTTCAGAATATTCACCAAGAATTTGTTCATCACTAACACATTCAATTGAATCACGTATTTGTGCTAATGTTAATGTTGATAAACAAATAAGTTCATTCATTAATTGATGACGATAACGATCACGTGATTCAATAGGAAAAAATATTTGTAAATTTAATAAAAATCTATTATCATATATATTTGATAATGATTGATTTGATTCACGAATATTTTTTAAAAATGCTGTATCATGTGATGCATGTGGACGTGATTGACTAAATTCTTTATATAAATATTCAATACAAGCTGGATATGTTTTAAGATTATTTAAAATAGTTGTATTAAGTTTATCTTTTTTACGTCTTGTACGCCATGTACTTGATATTATATTTTCATCATCATCTTTATCATGTATATCTTGTTCATCATTATTATCATCATCTTGTTCATTATTATTTTCTATTCTTATTATTTCATCTTGTTGTTCATAATGATGATAATCACTTAATGATTTAGCTATATTTATTAAAGGATTAAGATTATTTTCATCAATTGTATTTGAAGATGTAAATAATGTTATACGTTTTTTTAAATTTATTGCATCATTTAAAAATTTTTCTAAATCAATAGGTGAAGATATAAATTCACGAAGACGATCATTATCATTTGACATTATCTAAAATAGATATTAAAAATATATACATAAAACATGTTTTATGAATAATTATAAAGAATAGTTATAAAATATTAACATGTAACACTCATCTTAGATAGTAGATTGTGTGGTATAACAAATAAATTCTGACAGGCTAGTTTCCATTATGCATAAATTCATAGAGCTTAACGATTATACTTATATAGAATATTCAAAGGTAATTATAGAAGACAAACGCCAGATATCTAAGTCAGAACTTGAGCATGAGACATGTCTTTTTTCTTTTACTTATTTAATATGTAGAAGTAACATTATTACTGACATAAGTCATAAAAACAACTAGACACATGTTTTTTTCGTTGAGTTATCCTAGATATTTATTATGTAGTTATTTTAAAAACTCATATATAAATAATAAACAAAAAAATTTGTTTGTTTTTTCAATAGTATTTTTAATCATAAACAATAAAAATTATTCAAATATTTTTTGTTATATTTTGACTCAATTTCTATGATTGAAATAATAAAATTTTTTCTTACATATATTTATTCTACACTTTATCATAAATAAAAACAAAAATGAAATAGACAACAGACATCTTTTCATAAAGTTTTACTCGTTGTTTCTTATTATTTTTAGTCTGATATCTAATTATTATCGGTTGATTCATAGAAGGTTGTCATCTTTCTGTTATTTCATCTAAATATCTCATCAACATTCTTCTTTTTCTTTCCGAACACGTACTAATATCTTTTTATAGTATGACAAAACAAAAAGAAAACCAAGTATCTAATATAAATAATTTAGATCTTGGAATTTGCTATTATTAATCACACTCTATAATTCTTATCTAATTTAAAAATAGAATGCACTTCAATGTTCGTAAAAAAAAACAAGGATTCAAACATATAAATTATTTCTTTTGCATATGTCTATAATTCATTAACCATTTCAGGCTCACCGTACTAAATTTTTCAAGTTTCGTGATCTTTGAATAACTCGCGAATACAAAAAGATATCGAGAAGCGGTTTTCTCTATGACATAGAAGAGACTTCGACACATATATCTATATATGATTCATAACCCTAATGAGGTCACTCAGGTAATTTTTGACCCACGCCTGTATTCTCCCACGGGAATGCCCAAAATACTTCTTGCTATCCCCGTAGGGGGGTATGGGTCGAAAATGACTTGAAAGATTTTTAAAAAGTTTGAATGAAAATATCCATAATACACGCTGCTTATATTAAATATCGAATCTCAAAGAAATTTCATCCAGTGGCTGAGTCCATGGGCCTAAAAGGGTTAATACATTATAGTTTTTAAGTTTCCTTTTAATAAATATTCTGAATATCAATTAATATTTCTATCATGATTTTCATATTTAAAATAAAAAAACCTCTTTCTGCTAAATACTACTCAAATTTTTCATATCAAATAGAAATTCTTACTATTGATATTCACTTACATATTCTAATACTATTCAAATATTTTTTCCTCTTAAAATCTATTATTATATAACAAAATAATAATTAACTACCTTATCTTTTGTTCTATCAAAACATATCATTGTACATAAGTACCATATTTTTCAAATATATATATATATATATATAATGTGTAACTTTTTCAAAAAAAGAATAAACAACAAAAAAAAAAAAAAAGAAACCAAAGATACACAATATAAAGAAGAACACATCGATACATAAGAGTCAAAGTTTATTAAATTTTTTTTTTTTCTTTTTTCTAGAAAGAACAAATAGAGAAACAAAACGAAAGAAAAATCCGATCATCACTATGCAGCATCATTTTTTTTTTAATCGGCCAGAAAACTACTGATGTTAAGATATTTCTTATTTTATCTGACACACACACACAAACAATAATAATATCGAACAAATTCGCGTTAAGAATAACACTATTGTGCATGCTAATACACATTGCTGCTTGAGAAAAGATTGAAAAAAAAAACACAGAAGACTTTCCCCTTCCCTCCAAAAAAACAAGAAAGGATAATTATAACAGTTTATCATCTTCTCGTTCTTTAATATGTTGTTGACATCGAAGAAGTCTTAAATAGAAAAAACAAAAAATTAATTTTTTATTTTATCAAAAAATGATTAAATAAATACCTTTGTCTTAAAATATTTTGTTTTATTTCAAGTACGCGAAAGTTCGATTTTAATGCTTTAAGTTCAATAAATCCTGTTGACATTTTAGCACTATAACCATAATAATCATCAAAAAGTTTTAAACACTAAAAAAAAAAAAAGAAATTCAATAAAAAGAAATAATTTCTTTTTTATTAAACCTGTTTTTCTAATTGAGTTGATGGCCAATCAGTTAAATGTTGAATTAAACTACCACGATAATATTTTTGAATTTCTTGATCACGTTCAATTTTAGAAATCGATGGAATAGGAGATTCGATTTCTGTACTAAAAAAAAAAAAGAAATTTTACTTTATATATTTATTTATTAACGAAAATAGAATATTTCACGTTTGTTCTGTTGTTGTTATAGAAGGAAGAATTGTTCGAGTAGATGGAGATTTTGTTTCATTTCCTAAATATGAAATTATATTTTATTAAATATATATATATATATTAAAAGAGATAATTGTTTTTTTACCATTTAAAGAGATTGAATCTTTTTCATGAGGTTTATTTAATATATCAGACACTGGGGTAGATACTGAAATAGCTTTAAAAAAAAAGCAAACAAGAACCAAAATATATATATGTTCATGTTTTAGGATAAAATTTATGAGTATTTTCTATATAATTCAATTAAATTTAGAATATTTGTAAAAAAAACTCTTCTTCACAAATTATAAACTCAACTATCCTATATTCTCACTATAAAAATTTTCTACATTTCTAAAATTTATTTTTTACCAGGTTCCGATAATGATACATGTAAAACACTACCATTATTATCATTACCATTACCATTTCGATCCGAAATGTTTATAGTTGTTGACTCTTTACTACTTGTCGATGAAAATGACATTCGAGAATTATCATCATCTAAGGCAAAAAAAAATAAAAAAAGTCTATCCATCATATATTTAAAATAAATTCGTTTTTTTTTGTAATACTTGGACTAGGTAAATGAATATTTGAAGTTGTACTAAAGGATTCATTAGATTGTAATGATTCTTTTATTAGATTATTTGTTATATGAGAATGTATATCACCATTTTGTTCATATTTAATATTAGAATTAGGAATAAGTATATCTTTTTGTTGATAACGAAAATTTTCTGATGATTCATCCATCTTATATCGAGAACGAATTGTAGGTGAATTATTTGATTCTATTTTGTCAAAAATAAAAAATCATAATGTAAAATAAATAAAAAAAAACCTTTTTTAATTCGATCAGTAGAAGGACATATTGAAGTTGATCGAATAGATGAAGATGTTGTTCTGAATAACAAAAAAAATCCTTATTTTTTAAATGCTAAATGAAAAATTATCTTACTCATCAATTGGCCATCCTTTTGGTTTTTCCCATTGAGAAATTTCTGTTTTACAATTATAAAAATATGTTTTGCCTGTTGAACTTTTAAATTCTGACCAATCACCAAACACACGTAGCGGCTTTTTTGCCTTAAAAAAAAAACTTTCAATATATATGATATAAATGAAAAATTTACATACATCTTTAACTGTTTTCTTATCTTTGTCACCATTTTGACGTTGCTGCTGAGAAAATGATGACGATGGCACAGTTCGATTATTGGAAGAAGCTAAATGAACAAACATTCTTTTTGTTTTTTGCCACGAAAAAAAAAATACATTGTGTTCGAATATATTTTCGATGATTGGATGATTCGTCATTAAATCCATGTGTTTGTAAATTCGACTCTCGTTTTGTTGACTATAATAAATTAAAAATTTTTTGTTTTTTTTTTTTGATATTTATTATATCTTAAGGCTATGATTATATCAAAGCGATGATCCGTTACAACTAGTTCTATTTTAAAAAGGTGACAGCTGAAAGTAATGACTCATTATATATATCTGTGACACTTATATTAGTTTTTATACTATGACGATGTATTTCTTATATACAGATTCTTTTTTTTCTTCTGAATAGCTAAAAGTAATAAATTTAGTTCTTTTTGCGTAGTTAAAACCATAATGATCAATATAATGACGATGATTGTTTTTATAAATTTTCAAATTTAGTATTTAGTACATATGAAAAATTAAATAAAGTACACTTTGTTCTGTAATTGAGCCTTATAGATAGATCTAATAACTCTTAGCATATCTTGAAGGTTATAGCCAGAAAGAATATTTCTATATTGAGATGATGAATTTTCCCACAAAACTCGAACTCATACATTCTTTTTGATTGAAACTTTCAGGCTATTCTAAATAAATAAAGGTCTCTATGTACTTCTTTTTTCTATGATAACAATCTATACGTAATTATTTACGTAAATAAATACTTACCGAATAGCCGCTACCATCTTTTCGGGTTTCATATAGACTAGTAAAAATTAACACTATGATATATATATTATAATTTGAGAAAAGAAAAATTTACCCATCTGTTGTTCTGTGTTTGCTACCATACATCGCCAAAACTCAACAGCAAGTACATTTGGATCGTGGCAAAATTAGAATGGCACACGAAACAAATGGAACACACACAAATTTGACAACTAATATTAAAAATGAATCAACGATATATATTAAACAAATAAGAAAATTTGTTTTTCTTTTTTTTTTTTTTCTTTTTTTTACTCAACGATGAATCAATAAATAAAGATTGAACTGAAAAAAAAAAATAAATAATTATTTACTAGAAAACAAAACAAAACAAAAAAAGGAAAATTCCTATTTACCAAATAAAATTTCTACAAATGAATAATAAATTTTTTTCTTATCATATTATTTTCGTTCGATATAATAAAAAAAAAAGAACACAGGCAAAATCTAAAATAGAATCATTTATATATAAATTTAGAACTTAAAGAAGAAGAAAAAAAAAGATTATAGAATAAACATTATGATGAAAAATGGAGGGAGGTTCAAGCCTATATTTTATCATGTGGCTCGACATTGACAAAAGAAAACCTATCGTCTTTCATTATCAACTCACATTTTATCGAATAAATATTTTCTTTAACATATCTATGCACTTTGTATATTTTCCTAGAGGATGTTACTAAGGAAACCAAAATAGTAGGAAAATGACGTTTGGTCGTCTGAATTTTATATATTATTTTATTTTCAATTGATAACATATACCAATTACTAAGGTAGATATCTTGACAGTGTCTACTGGATTAATCCTGATAACAAAACTCAAAAATAAATATTACGATAGTAGTTATTAATAATTTTCAATTATTAGAGAAGAATGTACACCCTTTCTTCTTTCACCACCTCCGGTCATAAAAACTAGGGTGCATAAGAAAGAAACAAGTTTGAAAGAGTTCGTCTTTATAGGTCGCTGTAGCCGAGTTATAATCCTTTTACTGAAGTTTTGATTTGAGATTGTGCTCATAATATCATGACAGTTTCAACCAAAAAGAACGTTCATTTTGAGAAATGCCTTTTTTTTCAAAAAATCAATATCTAAACAAAGGAATATTCTAAGAATTATTAGATCTATCCATGGATGGAATTTCACTTCAAAATCCCATTGTTTTATTTTTCCGAATATATTGAAAGCTATTGTCGACGTCAAAATATAATGTACTTCGATATTTTCTAATTATTTCGAGTATAAAAAAGTCTACGTTTATCACCATTTGAGGAAACAAAATGTGAAGGAAATAAAACTCTTCTGAAATAGGTTTGTCAGTTTTTGGTGTAATTGTTGACCAGTGATTTTCGAAAAAAAAAAGTATTCAATGCTACCTATGATTTCTAATTTACTTAATTCATAGCCAAGAGACTTGTCTATTGATCTACACAAGCTCTGAAAGTGTTGAAATCGAGCTGTACAGGTTAACCTATACTTTATAGAGTTTGGGTTAGGTCACTAAATTAAGTCGATTGGTGATTTTTCTAAATCTTGTCGTTTCAACGTCAGATCATTGTAAAACAAAAAGAAAACATTATCAATTAACTCAGTTTAATTGACTATCCCAAACTCTATACAAAGCATACTGACCAGCTATTACTTAGTCGAAAATATTTATAACTCTTGAAAAGAATAAATTAGAGTAGTTGACCTTACGACATCGATAGTAGGTCGAAAATTTTCTAAAACACTGATAAATCCATGAACATGAAACCTTCTAGGATTTTTCTTGTCCTACTAACGAGGGAACGTTTTCAACTGTCAAATCCCTTTTGAGGTCGAACTTTGTGCATAAGATAGACCTCAATAAGGTATCAAAAAAATCTCAAAAGATTAAATCCGCTTAGGTCTTCTGTCCAGCGTTATAGACATTTTACTGGAATTTTAGTCTATGGCATGATATATACCGACAAATTGAATGATGGTATTTAGACCTGAGATTTTGCCCACAGAGAGGTCTATTTATGAGTGAAATCTCCTGAAAATTTCAGCTCAAAAGAACGTTTCCTTTCCGAGATATTAAAGTCCCAAAAATGACTCATATACGACAAAAGATGCTAGGATTTTCTGTTTTTTGGGACTTTAATATCTCGGGAAGAAAACGTTCTTTTTAGCTAAAATTTTCAGGACATTTCACTCATCAATAGACCTCTCTGTGGGCAAAATTTCAGGTCGAAATACCATCATTCAATTTGTCGGTATATATCATGCCATAGACTAAAATTTCAGTAAAGTGCCTATAACTCTGGACCTAAGACCTAAGTGGATTTAATCTTTTGAAATTTTTCATACCTTACTGGGGTCTATCTTATGCACAAAGTCCGAACTCAAAATGGATTTGACAATTGAAAATGTTCCCTCATAAGACCTAATTATGAATATTATATGAATTGAAACAGTGGATTACAGTTACGGCAGTTTCCTCATCAGCGTATCCTTGATAATGTATGTTTTTTTTTGTCCACTAGATCATTTATTATAAATCCTAACAAGAAACCATCAATATATCTTTGTTTGAATCAAAAACGAATTAGACATTCTAACTAATTTCTAGCATAAGTAAAAGAAAGTTTCAGCTCAATCAGATGTACTGTGATTGAGTAACAAGAAGTATTTTCTATTATGTTTTGTTCAAAAACAATGAAATAATATGTAAATTTTAATGTTTTTCTGCTGTATAGTTATATATATATTAACTCTTGAAATCTGTTCAGGAGATAAAGAACACTTCGAAATGTATATCGAATACAAAAATTAAATTAAAAATACGAAATTCAAAAAACATTTCAAATGAAAATCGAAAGAAACTCTCTCTCTCTCTCTCTTTCATTTCGAAATAAACATCTCGATTATTTTGTTTGTTTTCTCATTTCTCATGAACATAATAAAAGAACTACATTTGTATATTGAATATTAGTTTTCTTTTTAGAAAAACATCTTACATAATTTAGGAAATACATAATATATAAGTTATGACTCATTCAGTCAAATAGATGTAACACAGTGGAAACTTAGGAAAATATTTTTTCTACTATTGATTCATAATGAAAAGATTTTCTCATCATTCATTTACTCTAATAGAGTGATAACCTTCTCATGTATGTTGAATAATTGTGTTTTCCTTTAGCATTACATCAACTACAAAAGAATGTCTATTAAAAAAAAAAAATTTCAAGTTCTCAATTTAGAACACACAAAAAAGAAAAAAGAATGTGTCATAAACATTAAGCTTCAAATGATTCATAAAATGAAGTAAAATATTATTTAATGAAATTTATTTTGTTTTCAAAATAACGCAATAGACAAAAATAAAAGAAAAATGATTTTATTTTACCCCTTTTGTCCTTGAAATTAAATATAGAATGAATAAAAATATTTTTTGTAGAAGCTTAAGTCTATGATTTCAAATAGATATAAATAACAAATTTGATATCAAATTAAAATTTATTAATAAGAATACTATAAATAATCTAATCGTCTTCTATAATTCAATTGGATACTTCAGTATTTCATCGAATCGATTTATATTCGTGTGTGAAAAATTGTAAAATATATAGAAAAAAAAAAAACTTAGAAAATCTTTTAAATTTTAAATTTCTCTAATCGAACAATATGGTGCGTAAACTGACGATTTACATACCGTATATATATCTGTATATCAGAGTGATGCTTGACAATTCTATCTGATAAAAATAGAGCATACATAGGATATAAAAAAAAAAGTATTTCAGGTCGAATAAGTACGGTCATAGACAGCCGTTTCAGATAGTTGTTTTTTCTTTTTTGATGGACATTATATTATGACTGTATTTCATCATATCATCAATGATCTGACACTCGATTTTCAGTTCGTTATCAATGGATATACAGTATGATAAAATACAGTCGTAATACTGTGCCCACTAAAATACTAACTGACAAACACAAATTATATATAAAACGACAATTATTATTATTATCTATTTCGATTATTTACAATGATTTAAAACGATTTTTATCATCATCGTGAGTGATTCGTATTCATATCGTATACAACATAATTTCATCGACATCATCTTAGTAAGTTGTATAATTCTCAAACTGGATATTATTATCTATTTCAAGCTTCATTGGTAAATAACATTTTATTATTACATCCAAGGAAAAAGAAAGTATTAATATGAAAAGCATTCTTTGTTTTTTTTTTTTATCTTTCATGTTCTTAGTTATAAGTATAAATTATTTAATGAATCTATATTCTTAATTGTTCGATTTATTTTCATAATAATATATCTAGGAAAAAGAACCATCATATATATTAAAAATTATACAACTTGCTTAACAAATATTTGAAAAATATAAGTCATATCTATTGACATTAAAGAAATCCTTAATAATAATTTAAATAGATAATGATAATATTTTGAATAATTACATTATTATTATATTGTTTAACCAATGATTTTATTTGAACTTTTATATGTATTTATATAAGTATAATATATGACTAGAACTAAATATTATTGAGTAGGAAAAAAAAAACAAAATAACGTCAATATTATGTTTTGATTAGTGCAAACTAGATGATTATTATAAATGGATGAAATAAATCAAATAGCATACGAAGTATACATAATCGATTATATTGAGATGATTTCTTTTGTTTTCGTTTTTTGATATATATATATATACACATTCATTTATAAATCATGTTTATTGTCAATATTCATTTTTTTTCTTATCAACAAAATAAAAACAAAACGTTTAAACAATACATAAGAAAAAAAAACAAAAATTACTTAATGACGTCAAACTATCTATCAGACTAGACTTTTGATGCATATTTTTCTATGATGACATGATGTTTCTTCTATTTACGATTGATCGGCTGTCATCAAACGATGATAAACATACAATGAATATGCAGTGTAATCGAGCGAATAACAATGAACTTGAACGATAATCATCGACGCATTCCATTCAAACGTGTTTTCTATATGTGTCTCATCATTCATATTATTAGAGCACATAATTAAACACATAAATGATCATTCATCTCATCATA